TAACTCACAAAATCTTCAACATTTCTATTCTTAGATGAGGCTAATGTATGATGAAAAATAAAGACGCATAGATAAATCAGTTAAATTATTATTGCATCAATCAGCACGAATCAATAATCAAATAGGAATATAAAATTTCATTGCATTTTACATTATTTGTTTTCCATAATAGAAATGGAAAAAAATATATATTACTTATATTGAGTAATATTCTAAATTAGGCAAAAAACATGCCTCCCAAAAAATATTGGCTACATAATCCAAATAAAATCCACGTCTCAAAAAGAATATATATATTTTTAATATAATGGATTATTATTTTATTTAACAACTTCAATGTTGGTTCATTCTATTGATATTTACTCATCAAAATTTATTTTAAGAAATATAAATTTTATATTCTACAACACTTTATTTAATCTTTTTTTTTTATCTTTCTCATAATTAAGCTCAATTGCCTAGACTATAGGAAAATGATATGGTCTCATTACGGAACCATTCCGTCAGAATTTATAACCGTTAGATCATCATGTAATCGTCGAAAATAGTTGATTTAACGGTTATAAACCCCGACGAAATTGTGCCGTAATGAACCATAACATCTCCCTAAACTATAATCTTTCATACTTTATTTTGGTCCAAATCCACACCACTCTAAAAGCAATTGCCATTTTTTTATATATATCTATATTTTTTTTTTTTATTTTATGCTTTCTTCATGCGTAGGGACACGAATTTATGTAATAATTAAAGCATGCCACCTACCATATTATTCTCGTGAGAGCACCAAAATTTATATACCATAAATATGTCAACTGCTATAAATACAGCTATACTATCTTTCCTTTGTCTTCTAATAATAGTTAAATTGTAACAAAAGAATTTGTGTGGTACAAGGAAAAATAATGAAAAGAAATTGAAACAGAATTTGCTTGCTCTACACACGTGAACCAAGTATTTTTCATAAAACTCGTTTTCAAAATATTTTCTTAGAATTAAATGCAATTTTAGTGGAGATACATAATATTCATTTATTTACTTTAAAAGAGTATGGTTTTGGTTCTGCACTATTACGGAAGGCGAGCTTTGGGATCTCTTTTAGGGTTTCTATTGGCATTGAATTCGAGATATCGACAAGTTATTGTTGAACTTAATAGTCAATGTGTTACGAAAATGGTAAAAATTTTGGAAGGCTTTTTTGGAGCTCATGATGCCATGGTTATCCGAGGCTTAATTCAGGGGGACTGGAACGTTCGAGTTCAACATGTACACGGAGAAATAAATTTCGCGGTTGATCATCTGGCGAGCTTGGCGGCATCATATCCTATTGAATTGTATCGAGTTTTTTCATTTCCTATAGGGTTAGGTGCATGGCTTGAGCATGATAGCATTGGGGTTTCATACCCTCGACCAGTGACGGATCTAGGAATTTCATCCAGGGGAGCCCAATTTTAAATGTTATAACGAGTTTGTAGTTTATGTCTCATTTCATATAAAAATGTATCTACCATAAATATAAATGTCGATATGTGTACTATCAAGTTTTTCAAAACTTAGAATTCGTATCAAAATTGAGTCTATCAATTTTTTTTATATATAATTTATGGAAAAATAATATTGTTCAACATCTATAGTTTATGGAATAATAAGTTTTTTTTTATTGAGAAATTGTTTTAAATTAAACTTTTTAAAGCACATTACATATTTGTTGATGAGAGTCTATCAAATTAACATTTTATTTTAAATAAAATAAATAAATTGAAAAATATGTGATTACACAAAAAAAAAAAATCAACATTAAAATATGTAACATTCCAACCAAATACTGTGTTTTATAAATTTTTAAATAGATTTACAATTAAGAGGCTGAAAGAGTAAATCATTATAAATATTTTCAAAATTTTATCCAAAAATATAAAATATAAAGCTTGTTAGTACATTTTTAATAATAAATAATATTATTAATTTAAATCAAAACAACATATAACATAAATTTAAATTATTAGTATGTTGTAAATATTTTTTACATTTCTTTACATATTTTATCGTATTATCTTTTAAAAAA